AGGGAGGACCCGCCATGCAGACTCCCCACAGGCCGTGCTGCTAACCACTGCGCGGCCCCGCCTACCCCACACACGGGCTGCGCAGGGAGGACCCGCCCCCAGACTCCTCATCCCAGGGCCGCTGTCCCCTCGGACCGGCTGCAGCCCACAGGTCCCGTGGAGCCCGCACTGTGTTCCCCCCGGGCCCTCCCTCAAGCCAACGTGTGCGGCACGTGCACCGCTGCTGCCCTGACGGGACGCCCTTTACTGTGCACTGACCCCGGCCCAGCGCCGCTCAGGAAGCTCTGTCTGGCTCGCTCATGGCCACCTCTTTCCACCACACATCCTGTTTCGGGAGAATCTTCAAGGTGCAAACCATGGGCACAGGCAGGCCGAAGGGGAGCCCCTCGGAAGTGCCCAGCATCACCCCACCAGGGTGGGCGCGGCCCTGTGTCCACACCGGGCGCCCTGCCCCTCCCCCAGCAGTGTGCACGGGAGAAATGAGAGCGGCGACATTAACTTGTGCGACCCCACAATTAAAGCTGTGGTTGTTTACCACAGCGAGAGAGAACAGCTCCGCCTGCCAACGCCGACCGCCATCACGTCCCCCTACTGCCGGCTCCCCCCAAGTGTTTATTTAAGCCAACACATTGCTCTGCTAATTGGATAACATTCCATGTGAAAATAGACCTTTTAAAGCAACAGCAGCGGCGGCAAATAAAAACAGCTGCAACTGCAAAAGTACAAAGCGCAGCGCTGGGGAAGGGAGAATTAAAGTCACACGCGCGGGAGAAGCGTTCTGGTGTCTGGGCGGCAAGTCTGCTGCGTCCTTCCCTCCGAGCCCTTCGTCCCTCCTTCCTCCAGCCTGGTCTGGGCGAAGGAAGAGGAGGTGGTGGCTTCTAAGTGGAATCCCAGTGGCTATTGGCAGCTTCTCGGCCAATGGGCGTGGGCACACCCGGCAGGGAACCCGAGGCCACCGGCCCAGGGAGAAGGCTGCTGCAGGAATGAGGGACGCCCACTCCCCCTCCAGGACGAGCTGCTTATTCCTGGGCTTGTTCCCAAGAGATGTTTTTAGGGACAATTTCTTGGTCTTCTTCCAAATGGTCGCTGATTGGCGAGTCCTGTTCTTTGGGGAGCTGCTGGGGCTGGGCGAGAGGTGATGGGTGCATTGGAATGAGGAGGGGGGCATGAGTACGTGGGTTTTGCAATCAGACCGACAAGGGCGATTTCCCAGCTCTGCCGGAACTGGCTGTGGAGCCCTGGGCAAGTGACTGCATCCCCCTGAACCTCAGTTTTCCCATCTGTCACATGGCTTCCTACCTCCCATCCCCTAGACGCTCCGGAGGGTTAGAAATCACATGTGCACACCGGGAGTTGTTTCTATCGAAGCCAAGATGCTGCCCTTCCAGAAACACTATCAGTGCCCAGGGGCCACGTGGCCGGTGCCTTACACAGGACAGCCGGCCACGCACCTAAGTGCGGACCAGGGCAGCAGGAACACCGCTGCATCTGGGACGCGATCGGACCCTTCACTGTCTGTCTGCTTTCGTCAGCTGTCCGCCCCCCACTTCTCTCCACCACGCAGGGGAGGTTCTTTGAAGATGCTGGACCGCCACACCTGGAGGCTTAGATAACACCAGCACTTTCCGAGGGAATGACATTCACTGCGAGGGACACTGGGGCTGATAAAGCGTCCTAGGCTGGGAGAACGTGCCAGCTCAGAGCCTGTGCCCAGGGCTGACGGCCAGGTCCCCTCAGCTCAGCGTCCCCGCTATGGAGCTAGGACGGGGCCTCGCGGCGGTTCGCAGGGCTCAGCGGCACCGACAGAGCTTAGCAAATGCTCAAAGAGTCGGGGAGGGGCTTCTGCAAATCTCCCGCCTGACTCCCAGGCCGCTGCAGGCTGGGACGAGACAATGCGTGTGTGCGGGGCACATGTCACGTACGAAGCCGGCACAGGTGGTCTCGGGAGCCGCTGGCTATTGTAGTCAGTTGCCTGGTTACTCTGAGCTCGGCCACAACAGCTTTCTCAGAGCCTTGTGCTAGAATTCTCTTCCCAGGTTCGAGATGTGTGCTTGACCCGGAGGGGCCTGCCAGATAACGAGCTCCTGCCGGTGTGTGGGGCGAACACGGGGGTCGTGGAGAAAGGTCGGAAGACTCAGAATCCCCGGGGGCAGGGAGCGAGAAGCTGACACGAGCTTGGGGCCCACACGAGGCGGCGGTGCCGGGGGGCTGACTGGGCCAGATCCCCCCTCCTCTGCCAGCTGCGAGGTGGACTGACGAGTGCCGGGGACAGAGCACTGAGCTGGGAGCCGACGCCCTGGGTTCAAGCCCCAGCACCCCCAGACCCCACTGCTGTAGATTCCAGGTTCCACGCTCGGCTCTTCCTCCCTCCCCTCTCCTGCATGCCTGCCCATCCCTTTCCTCGCCTCTGCCCTTCGTCCTGCCCCCATCCGAGGGCTGCATGGGGCCCCCACAGGAGGCCCACAGCTCCAAGTTCAAGCGGGTGCCGAAGCCAAGGGTGACGGGTGGCTAACCTTCAGAGGGCACCTGGGTGGGAGATGGGGAGCCCTGGGGAGGGAGGCAGGGGGCCGGGTGCCATCAGCCCTGGAAGGGTTCTAAGGGAGGCCTTCTTCCCAGAAGAGAAAGGCTGCGCAGGGAGCTGGCCCCGCGGGCCCGAGGCCCAGGACCACGGAGGCGCCGCTGCCAACCCTGGGAGTCCCACGCACTCCTTCTGCGAAGGCATAAAAAAAAAGATTCCCGGGTTTTACTCAGTGTCTCCTTGCAGCACGGCTCACCCTCTTGTAGCTCACGCCCACCCTCGAGCTAACGAGACATTGCAGTGTTCACAGCTCCATTCACCGGCAGGCCGCGCGGCTCTGCGGGTCAGTGCAGTGCTGAGTGCTCCACTCGCAAGACAATCGGGTTCTTCAGACAGGCGGGGGGAGCAGCCGGCTTCTCCAGAAGCAAAAAGAGCAAAGGGAGCGGTGCAGGGGCGGGGCGCGGTGCGGGGCGCTGTGCAGGGCGGGGCGCTGCTGGTGGGTTCCGGCTGTGGGAGGCGGGCTTGGGTGGCGGGCACAAGGTCCTCGCACGTGGGGACATGGGGACAGGGAAGAGCGTCTGCTGGGCTGGGGGCCTGCTGGCCGGGAGAAGCTGTGGGCTGAGTCCTCACTCTCCTGGTGCCCTTTCTCCGGAGCCCAGAAGATGGCAGGAAGGTGGGGGTAGGAGCCGCCCCCGTGCATCAGCGGAAGCCTGGCCCCTGCAGGGAGCGCGGGCCGTTCAGGCAGCCACGCTGCCCTGTCCACCAGAGAAGGCCCTTCCGTGACCACTGCCTCCTGCACCTGGGGGTCCGTGACATTTCAAGACCGGGAGCCTCTGCCTGGTCCAACCCTCCGGAGGGTCTGTGAGCTACTCTGGAGAGAGGCCGTGTGGAAGGATGGCCCCTTCCCCTTCCCTTCATTGCAGATGGTCACCGCTGTTACCACCCTCCACCTCCCCGCGACTACAGGCCGAGCTCACAGGGGCCAGGCCCTGTTCCAGGATCTCACCTCCACCAAACCTCACAACGACTCGACGAGGAAAACCGTTACCATTTCACAGGGGGAAAGTGAGGCACATGGAAAATAAGTCGCTTGCCCAAGGTCACCAGCAGGAAGTGGCAGTACTGGGATTCGAACTCAGGCAGGCTGGCTTCAAAGTCTGTGCTCTGAAGGTGGCCTCACCCTGGCCCCTCCTTCTCCCCGGCCAGCCCGGCGGGGCCTGAGCTGCTGGAAGAGGAGGAAACAGCTCAGCTGTGCGCCAGGCCCAGCGCCAGGGCTTCATGTGCAACACCTGCCTTCGCCTGCGGGGCGGGGCGTCATCACTCCTGCTTGACAGACAAGGAAGCTGGGGCGCAGGCTAGGGAAGCAGACCTGCCCGCGGAACAGCCGGAGCTCTGGGCGGCTCCCCTGGCTCCCCCGAGCCGATGCCTGGGTGGGTGCACGCGGGGTGCTGCCCTGTCCCGACACCCCTTCCTCCGGGAGGCGAGGGAAAGGCTGCCAGCCGAGGAGAAAGAGGAGCAGACGTCTGGACAAACGTGGCCACGTGTCAACGAAACAGGCACTTGAGCTCAAGACGCCGAGACAAAGGTGGCTGGCGAGGCTCCTGAGCCCCGGCGCCCTCTCTGCCTGCGTGTGCTCAGGGCCCACGGCCGCAGCAGCGTCCCTGTGACGTCGCCCTCGGCTCTGCCCCCTGGGCCTCCGGCCACACCAATTCGCAATCCCAACAAACTCGCGCTTCTGGGAGGTGGAGGCTCCCAGCCAGCAGGAGCCCTGCACGTGGCCGAGAGCGGAGACGCCCGAGGGCACAGGCTCTGGGAGGGCCCCACATGAACAGGCCCCCCGTCTCTGGCCCTTCCCCTAGGGATTCTGACCTGGCCCTCTAAGGGCAGGGACCATGGACAGGGCCGGAACCCCAGTCACAGCCACAGCAGCAGCCCCGTGCCTCCTGCCCGGCCGGGCGAGGACGCAGCCCCGTGTGCCACACCAGGCCCAATTCCAGAGGCCGCCTTGCTTATGGAGCAAAGGGTGTCCCGTGTCCCCGGGACCCTGTGCACAGCAGCACCTACCTGGGCTGCAGCCGCCAGGAGGAAGGAGGGAGGGAAAGATGTGTCCCCACAGGTCCCACGCGGGTGCCTTGGAGTCAGCTTGCTAAGAGCCGGCTGGGACACCCTCTGTGCCCTGCACAGCGTCCCCTGCTGCCCGCCCAGTGCACCACCTTGGAGCCTTCCGCCTGCCCTGGGGGAGCCTAGGAAACCCACTCGCTTCCCCACTCCGCATCTCAGATCCCTGCACCTATGACATGGCGGGAGGGCGGGGGACAGAGAACAGCCCCTTCCTCCAAACACAAAACCCAGGCCTTTTCTTCCAAGGGTGTCATGCAAATTAGCAGAATTGGGGGGATAAAAGAGAAACACCGCAGAGCTTTGCTGCTTCTCCTACAAAAGGCCCAGAAAGGAGAGGCCGGCGGGCGGGGGCTGGGCTCACCTTCGCGTCCTGCTTGGTGAGGAAGTCCACGAAGCCGAACCCTCTGTGCGTGCCCGTCCCGGTCATCTTCTTTGGCAAGCGGACGGTCTTCAGCTCCCCGAAGGTGCTGGAGACAAAAGGAAAAACGTGGCAGTTTCAGAACTGAGGCCTGCGGAGGGGGAGGGGCAGGCGGATGCTCACAGGCTCCCGCACACCCCTCCAGGCAGCTGCGGCCCGGCCAGCACGCTGGGCACTGCGGACGGAGCCGGCTGGCGGAGAACGTGCAGTTTCTCTCTGACAGGCTGGCACACGCGTGCTCCCTGGCCTGCGCGGTTTCCAGCCTTCCCCACGCGTGGCCAGGCTGCGGGGCCGAGGGCTGCTCGTGTGTGCCGGCTGGGCCCCCCGCACAGGGTCAGCGGGGCCTCCCGACCTGAATGCACCCCACGGCGGAGCTCTGTGTGGAATAAGCCCCGGACCCGGGATGTGTCTTCAGTGCAAGACGCAAGAATCACACGGCAGCTCCCTCTACACCCCACTTCCCCTCTCTCCGCACTTCCCTTCCGGTGTCTGCTAAGCCTAAGTCAGGTGCAGCTCTGGAGAAGGAATGGCTTGGCTCCCCGACAGGGGCCAAAAAGGCAAACGGCCAGAACCACCTGGGGCCCCTCCTCCTCCTGCAAACACCCAGAGAAATTCCCAGCCGAAAGGACCAGGCCTCTCTTCTCCCGCCTCCAATGCCCCGGCCCATCCTAACGTCCATTTATCAGATCCATACGTGCAAACTGCTGCCGATAAATATTTAATGTGCCCGGCATCTGAGGAGAGGAATTACTTTATCTGAAAATCTACATGCCTTTGCCGGCGCACACAGACACGCGAGGGTCCTGGGGCGCACACAGACACGCGAGGGTCCTGGGGCTCCAGGGCCAGAGACCGATCGGGTAGAAAGAAACACGGTCGGGGCCGTCTCCTCTCGTGCAACGACATAAGCTAAATCCGAGGCGTTAACCCACAGCCCCGCCAGCATGACCAGGCATCTGCCAGCCCAATTTCTGAAGTCAGGACAGTGTGCAGATGCGGCATTATGAGTCCACAAGATGAGTCTGCACGTCTGCGCCGAGCTCTGCCCGCAGCTCCACGCCCCTCCCGGCGCCTCTCCGAGCTGGAGAGGGAACCGGGCTGCTGGCGCCAGGGCCAGCCTCCCAGGGGCGGGCGGGGCCGGAGAGGACACTGGGAGCCCTGTCAGTCTTCCTGGCCCAGGCAGAGGGGGTCGGGGCCCAGGAGCTGGGCAGGTGGGGACAGGCAGGAAGGCGCTCTGACAGCTGAGGAGTGGAGCCCTCAAACCCTGCTTCACTCTGCCCCCTAAAGGCAGCCGGCCCGGCAGACACGCAGCCTCGCCCCCCACGGGAGCCCTGTGCCTCTGGAGGGCCGGCCGGGCGGGAGATGGCTGGGACTCCTTGTGGGTGCCTTCAGGGAAATGGTCCTTCAGCTCCAAGCTCTTCGGAGGGGCACGGGGACCCCAGGGACGGTGCGTCTGGTGGCCTTGAAGGCTGGAGTGTGTGAGCATTCAGGCCTGAGGAGGCTGGCGGGCACAGGAGGGGGGGAGACGCCCTATGTGCCCAGGGCGCACTAGGCACTGTACAGACACGGTCACTGACAACCTGTGAGCGCTCTGGTCTCTCAGCCCGCTTCCCACGCTGCCCGGGCTCTGGGCTGTTTCGGGCCTTGGCTTCACCAGCACGCGCCCTGAGCAGTCGGTGCTGATCTGCCGTGGGCTGGGCTGGCTGCATGCCCACCAGCAGTCGGGGCACTGTGCCGTGAACGCCTGTGACGCCCTCTGCCTCCCCCTGGGGTGGAATTCAGCTCTGCCACAGTGAAAACCACACCTGTGTTGTTTATCACGGGCCTGCAGCACGGAGACCGGTGTGGGTCAGCAGGGACCCCGGACGGTTCTGAAATGAACCAACAAGCAAGCAGCAGCCCTGAAGGCAGACGTGACCACTGCACATTCCGCCCACACCGAGTGCTGTGAGGGTCATCTGCACCAGCCATCACGACCGGCAAGCCCGTTGCTCCTCAGTGTCACCCCCACTTCACAGGTAAGGAGGCCGAGGCTCAGGAGGCAGAGTCCTTCTCGCACGTGGCAGGGCCAGAGTGTCTGAGGCCGAGCTCTTTCTGCGGTCACCAAGTTCCCCTCGGTTATCTGGAGGGGACTGGCCACTTTCAGGAACGGGGTGGCCAGGAATGCCGAGGGGTCTCCGAGGCCCCAGGACAAGGCAGGCTGAGTGCCGGTTCCTTCCACCTGTGCCGTGTGCAAACTCTCGCCTCTGCCCCCGGCACAGTCCTGTCCCCTGACGGTCTCCACGGCCTCTGCCCAGACTTCCCCTAGCCTTGCTAACTTCGGTGAGCCTGCCCGTGTGTGCGCGAGTGAAAGAGAGAGGGGGAGGAGGAGGGGAGCAGAGCGAGGAGAGAGACTGAGGTTGACCCTCCCTCTCTGCAGCGCACGGCAGGCTGTGATGCTCTGTGCATGGCAAGCAGCTACGGGTCCGGAGAAAGGCGAGGAAAATAATTAAAAGGTGGAGAAAGAAGCTGATGAGAAGAGGCTGAAGGAACCCTGCTTACGTGGCCTGGGGACGTGGCATTTGAGAGCGTGGAGGCGGGGGTGGGGCAGCTCCGGGACAGAGGGGTACCCTGGACACACGGGGGACTGTGGGCAGGGATCAAAGAACCAGTTCCTGTCCCAGGCAGCTAGAGGGCTGAGGTCACGGCCGCCGAGGTCTCCAGGCAGAAAACTGAGGGCAAATGAGATGCTGTGCCCCTAGACCCTAGCACCCCCAGACCCCCGTTCTTCAGGGGCTCAGAGCAGCTGGGAGACCGGAAGGAACTTCCCTGCAATGAAGGCTGAGGGTGAGGACGCGTCGCTGCTGCCGTCCCCCCTGTCCCCCAGGGACCCGTGGGCGGTGCCTGTGATGGGCTTTTGAATACACCGTTTCTGGGTGCAGCGACTGGGGCCCTGGGGATACCGCCTGTTTTCACAGAGGAGAAAACCGAGGGCCAGAGGGGCGAGGTGACCTGTCCGGGTCCAGGGGCCCGGGGCTCAGGCCCGACGAGGTTTCCCTCCTGGCTCAAGAACGGCTCCTGTAAGTCCGTGTAGGATAACACAGGGCTAACTCTAGATCTCAGAGAGAGAGCGAGAGAATTAAAGTGGGGGCAAATGGGTTGGGGGAGAAAAAATGTCGATGAAGTACCTTTAGCTCCTTGGAGATAAGGGGCATATAAACACCAGCCATTACTACGGTTCTTATCTGACAGCAGCGCCTACGGAGCCATTTCTGAGTGGTCTGCAAGGAAGGTGTGTGGGGACCTCTGTCTGCTGGGAGCAGAGGCCACTGCCTGGGTGAGGCCGGGCGGCCCGCGGGGCCCAGAGAGGGAGGGGACCCGCAGGGCACCCAGGAGCTCCCCCAGCCCAGACTCTGCTGCTTGGGGACGGAGACACATACACTCCCCACTGTGTAGATAATAGAAACCACAAAGTAGCAATTACTGTATCAGAAGCTGTGAATGAAAGGGACATACCGGGCTTTTAAACATGGCCCTCCTCCCCTCCCCCACCACGCTCACACTTCAGTAACTAACTCACACCTCACTTTTCCAATTATTTCATTCACCTCGGGTTCACCAATTACTCCCCCACGCCGCGGCCCGCCCCCTCCGCCACGCTGAGCACGCATGGCTGGTGGCAGATTTGTGGGTTTTCGACAACTGGAGTTTCTCATTTCTTCCGAGGGCTGTGGGTGGGAGGAGGCGAGGGTGAGGAGGTGGTGGGGGCGCCGAGGTGTTGCCCAGCCTCATAAACAGGTCTGGGCATGCAAATTGTGTTTGCACACAGCCTGAGTGCAGGCACATCCGAGTGTGTGGGCCCTGGGTGCATGTGGGCTCCTCCCCGGGGGGTGCTGGGCGCCCCGACCAGACCTGCTGCAGCTCTGGGTGGCCTGCTCGGGGTCTTTGGCTCTGCTACCAAGAAAGGGGCAAATCGCCTTCTCTCCTCCACTGAAGGACGGAGAGGACATGAGAGGACATGTGGGGGCGTAGAGAGAACCCCCAGAGACACCGAGCATGACTGTTTCACAGCCGCTCTGGAGCCTGGGTTTGGGGCTTCGTGAGCTGGCCGGGAGGCCGCCCTCACTTTCCAGCCTGCATGCTGTCTCCAAGGGGGGCTGCTCCCCGACAGTCCTCGTCACCTTCCACTGGTCAGTGAGCGCCAGCAGGGCCCCAGCTGAAGGCCGGACATGACTTCCTTCCACCTGCGCTCAAGGCGGAGGGACCGAGTCGGAAGGACAGGGGTCTGCACGAGATGAAGGGCAAACCGCGGCTCCGTGCTCTCCTCTTGAGGTGAGAAGAAAGAGCTGCATCTCCTGGACCAGAGGCCTCGCAAACACCACGACTTTCTGACACACATCACGCATGGAACGTAAAACTGAGGCTCCGAAGAAGTCACGTGATCTCTCCAAGGTCACTCGGTGAGTCACTACCTCCCTGGGGGTGAAGTGACTTGCCCCAGGTCCCTCAGGTGGTAGTGAGCCGAGCTGGGGCCACAGTGGGCGGCCTGTCCCTGAGCCTGCGCGAGGCCCCTGTGCGAGGTTTGGGAGGGAGGCGATGGTGGGCCTGCCGTCTCCCTTGTTCTAGGGGACCCTCCCTGGGGAAAAGCCGGCTGGCAGGCAGTGGCCCCCAGGCCCCAGAGAGGACTTGGGGATAAACCCCTTATCTCAACTACGCACAGGCTGGGCTGAGGGCTTCTGATGTCTGCCCACTGTGGCCACCCCCATGCCCACCTCCAGGAGGTCCCACCTGTGAACCCACGGCCCACGGAGTGGTTCCCACGGGGTGAATGACCATGGCAAGTTGGCAGTGGCTTTGCCCAGTGTCTGGTCTCATGCGCCCCTTTCTTTAGAGAGCAGCCATGTGGCCAAGGGCCCCAGCGGAGGCAAGGTGGACAGACACACAGACACAACCCCCTGCTCTGTCTGCGACAGCTGAAGTCTGCAGTAGAAGGGGGCTCACAAACAGGACCTGCTGTCCAAAGTCCCCACGCCCGCGATGGGCACACAGGACTGGCCTCGTCCAGCCCTC